CTCAGGGAAGAACAGGCTGCATTTCCAGGCCCAGGCTTTGTGCTTCAGAGAGAAATCAAGATGGCGTTCTGTGTTCAGCAAGCTGGGCAGTTGCCTGCTCATCTCACCTAACTCCTGTTGATCAGGACAGAGTATAAAAACGGTGCTGCGAAAACCAGCATCAGAAAATGTTAGCCTTGTGTCCATCTTGGTTTTGCTTTCTAGAAGGGCTGAGCGCCTCTAGAAGGACTGAGCGCCTTCCACAGGGACCTTCCTGGAGAGCACCCTGCAGTAGACACAGGGTTCTGGAAAGTTCTCAGAAATACTTCTGCTGCTGGTAACCTTGATCTGCTGGATGCCCCTCGCCTTATGGTAAATTGAGGTATCATTGGTAAGGATTCCAGGCCTGCCCCAGGGTTTACAACCATCTGAGTGGGGGCCTTAACATCAACAAGGCTGAGAAGGCCAACGTGTCACCTCCATTCATGGGGCATCTTCCTGGCCAGATGTGAGCTGAAAATGTAATGAAGAAGACAGGACTCTCAGACTTTGCCCTTGGGATGTAGTTTAAAGTCAGAGGCTGATGGCCTTGTCATGGGCAGCTCTGGAGAGAAACGAAGATGACTGTGCCTTTAACTGGGTAAGAAGCAAAAAGGGAGCTGGTGTTAGTGGGCATCCCCTGCAGTAGTGAACCCCATCCTCTGTGCCACCCTTACCCACTAAGAGAAATGGCAGCCATGGGGCTGCCTAAACAGGTAAACTTCGAATGCAGGTTTGTGCTATGGGGTTTAGAGAAGCTGCTGTGAGAGATTTCTGAGCACTTGGTCCTCAGTAGGATGTCTTCATCAAAGACTGTCCTCAAGGCTCAGGGACAGGAGGCAGAGATTGTAAGAGCCAGGGGTGATGGAGGACTCCGAGGAAACTGTCTTCCAGACTCCATAGGGTTGACAGGCATATGCCCTCACAGACTGTGGCAGCACAAACAAGGCCTGCACAGGTTCAAGCCAGAGAGGGTCCAATACTGAAAGGGGGTGTGGACAAGACGGGCTCCCAGCCCTAACCAAGAAGCTGTCTACAACTGGTACCCACTGTCAAAGAAAAAGTCATTTTACTCCAATGGAGTCTCACTGGGAACACAAACCACATCTTAGGGGCAGGCCTCATGCCCAGGAATAGATGCCCAACACCAAATTAGCTCAGTGGTGTTTTTACAGACTTTTCGACTCATTTTGCTTTATTTGGTCATTTGTGTGTGTGTCTTAATTGTTCTTCATTATTTTCATTTTTGTGAGGCTACATATGTGTTTCTTTTGTTGTTTTGTTTTTTGTTTTACAAAGTGAAGGAACATAGGTGGGTAATGAGGTGGGGAGGATCTGGGAGTGACCAAGGGAGGGAAAAACTGACCAAAATTGTTATATGAAAAACACTGTTTTTCAATAAAAAGCTTAAGAGACTGATGTGGAGGGAATGAGGGTAGCATGGAGGGTCAAAGGTTTATCTTGGAAAATGACCCAGAAGTTGGACCTGACAGATGAGTGAACGGGCACAGAAAGCAGCATGGGCCAGCACGTGCAAAGGGCCTGGGGCAGATAAAGGCATGGCATGCTTGGGACAAAGAACAGGGAGCTGAAGGCAAAGGGTGTAAGGAGAGAAAGACACAAGGTGACCTGGAAAGGCAGCCTCAGGGCAAAGCCTTGAAGGAGCAAAGGGATTGGTAGAGATAGGCAGGGCCACAGAGCCCCGCACAGCACATGGTGCAGGTCTCTGCTGAACTCTCAAGGCTCGTGAATCTGCTGCATGCAATACTTAGGTTTCCGCTCCTACTGCTGTGGTCTCTCCCCCTGAGCTTTTCAATATGGCCCGAGCCAGGAGAGGGTGTGGGGAAGGCCACGTCTAAACCTCAGGAGCAGTTGCTCTACATAGGGTACAATGACTGGTTGTAACAAGCCTTTTAGGGGTGATGATGCTATTTAGGGCCTGTTGGTTCCAAAGTGGGTCCTCCAAACTGGAAGTACTGGTGACAATGGCCTAAACAGAAGGACTCTGACTTTAAACACAAGGGTTGTTACTGGATACACAGAAGCCTAAATCCAGCAGGTTTCTGTTTACCAGGACCTCCCTTAATCTACCCCAAAGGTCAGCAATCTCAGGCCAGGCATCTAGTTCCTGGCCTGTATCAGATCAAATGCTCCTGCCCTGCTGCGTATCCTAAGATCCACTTGATTTTCCATCATTTGCTTCTCCCCACATACACACATGCTGAGACAGCCTTGACAGTCTGAGCCCAGTAAGCCTTTCTATCCACTGATGGTCTAGTTAGGCAGTTTCATTGACCCTCGCTTACAGGACTCACTGAAGATCTGAAATAGGTAGAGTGTCACTCCTGAAGGCCAGGGGCTGGGAAATGAAGCCCATAGGGTTGACAGGGTGGAGGCCATCAGGACTCTGGAACAGAAGCCACCACCATGCACTTTCTCCAAGGACCAAGGTGGGTCCTGGACATCCGGCTCTGGTGCTTTTACCTATGGTAGTAGGGTTGTGTGGATTTCCCTGGCAAAAGGCAGACCAGTTAGAGAAGGCCACACTGTCTGGCTGATACACCAGGGGAGACCCTGGCTGCTCCTGGATTTACAAATTCAAACCATGTATAAGCAGATAGGCCTTGCCTTGCTGCCTGCTCTTACCTTCCTTGGAGGTCCCTAGTCCCGAGAGAAATGATGGCTACAGATGCACAGGAAACATGGGGAAGGAGTCAGAGGAAATGCCCACCTCTTCCTTACTCATTGACTCTTGACTGAGTGAACAGGAACCTGTCATGATGATGTGGAATTCTTTCCATGTGGAATTATTCTACATTCCATTTTACCAAGATCAGTGTACCAGTATAAGTGACTCCCAGTGTTTAATTCAAGCAAAACTGCTGTTAGCCGAACCACATCTTGATGTCTGGAATGTCATCTGAAGTGATAAGTGAATCTTCTAACCATTAGAATCGAACGGATTTCTTGTGATGTATTCATGGAAAATCCTAATTGTCAGTAAAGAATCCAGACAAAGAAACCACAGAGAAGGGAGTCTAATTTAGAAAATGCCATTTTAATCCCCTCGCTGAAAAGGCTTCTCTCAACCAGATTGTAACAAAATCCACAGCTTATTCCAAAAGAAAAATTTAATACAAGAGATTTTAGAAAATTAAACATATTTGTTTAAAAATTCTATTGTGTAAACCTTAACATAAGAGGGGAGTTGGGATACCACATGCTCAGACCTTGGGCTGTTTATACCCCCAGGCTCCAGACACAGGGCTGCAGCAGACACAGAGAACGTCCCTAAGGTAGATGGAGATAGCTAACCAGGGCCCTTACTCCCCTGGAGGTCCCAGCTCTCAGGTTCTCTTCCCAGGTGCTCAGCAACCATACGGCTCCTGTGTGTCCTGTGTTCCGATTCTTGCTGGGCCTTCCCAATCCATCCCACTGATGACCAAAAAAAACCCCAACCCAACAAAAAACCTCCATGTGGTCAAGCAGTCCCCCCTGTCGGGGAGTGGAGCTCAGCAGGTTGCAGGTGGTGGCTGGGACACATGGTGAGCGGTGTCTACAAGGCGGGAGAACATGGCTACAGGGAGAAGTGGACCCAAGCCTTGACCCAGCATCCATACCAGTCCTGCTCCTGTGCTCTCTACCCTCCCCACCCACTGCCTAGACTTTATTTCAGAAGCATAATGGAGACCACGTGTTACAGCAACAGCGAGCTCAACTTTTTGGCACAGAAACATTAGATAAAATATACAGTGCTACAGTTGTGCAAAGTCAGTGCAGAACCAACCTAAACAGCAAACATTTAACACTAGCTTTAATGAAATAATGCACAATATTTTGAAGAATGTTCATTACAATAGACCTTGTTCATGAAGAGGCACCTGCCTTCTGGTCACAGTCCCCAGGCCAGGAGGGGTTCTGGGGTGGGTGGCATTGTCCCTAGTGGGAATGTTGAGCATCAGAATTGATTACTATGGGCATAAGGCTGCTCCTTCTTGGGACTGCCTCCCAGTACTTGTAGCAGGGCAGGGCAGGGCATCATGGAGAGACTACTACTGGCTCATCCTGGTGGCTGAAGATCTAAGTCTCTCAAACCTCAGCTGGGCACAGTTGGGTGGGTGTATGCAGGTGCAGGCTGCCAAAGAGATGGAGTTTGACCATGGACCTGGGAGACCAGGGTCTAGCCTCTACTGAGGGGCCAGTTGTGTTTACACAACAGTTGTATCTTACACAGGCAGATGGAGCTGAAGTAGATGGCATAGGAGCCAAGGCCTAACACACTGTGACTTGGGCCTCAGGAAATGTGAACTGTTGCAAGAATGAAGTTTTAGCAGCTACAAGTATGCCACAGTCAGGCTCAGGGCTGGGGAGCAGGCTCCTGAAGAGGTGGGGTTGTGTCAGACCCACTGTTGGCTCTGCATTCCTCTCCAGACTTTGGGCCTCAGATCTGGGAAGCATTGTGGGAACAGCCTCTCATACCTGACCTTGCCCTCTACTGCTCTGTCCAAGTTCCAGGGGGCTTACATGCTCACATTGTGAGGTAATGTGAAGGGCAACCTGGAGCCAAGAGTTTTGCTAGGTTTCTGTGGGAACAGTGTGGGCAGGGCTGGAGTGTGGTTCAGTGGAGTGCTTTGTCCAGCATTTGCAAGGCCCCAGTGTCAATATCCAACATGTGGGAAAAGGGAGTGGGTAAGAGGCAGGTATCAAGCAACCAAAGGAACCATGCTCTTAGGGCAGAGTTGGGCGAGTTTCCCATAAGTAATCCTTGAAAACCAAGGCATCTACTTTGGGTACCTTCTTTCTTTCTTTTCTTTTCTTTTCTTTTCTTTTCTTTTCTTTCTTTCTTTCTTTCTCTCTCTCTCTCTCTCTCTCTCTCTCGCTCTCTCTCTCTCTCTCTCTCGCTCTCTCTCTCTCTCTCTCTCGCTCTCTCTCTCTCTCTCTCTCGCTCTCTCTCTCTCTCTCTCTCGCTCTCTCTCTCTCTCTCTCTCGCTCTCTCTCTCTCTCTCTCTCGCTCTCTCTCTCTCTCTCTCTCTTTCTCTCTCTCTCCTTCCTCCTTCCCTCCCTTCCTCTGCTTTAACTGCAGGTGCTAAATGAATGATGGTTCTGTATGCCATGTTTGCAGTGAGAGAGCCCAGACTCTCAGTGACATGTGTTTGGACCAGGTGTCCAGAGGTCTGCTATTCAGGACACTTTGGATTGTGGGAGATGTAGGAGGAGGCAGGACCCTTTCTTTACAGAACATGACAGAATATGAAGTGTCTGTCCCCATGCTGAGTTTCCCAGATCAGGAGGTGGACTTGGGGCCACTGGAGTCTCACTAGTCCTTTTGGCTCCTCGGTCCAGTTGCCCAACCTACATTCTGGGTGTGGTGTTTGTGTGGAGCCTGTGGCCTCTTAGGCATATGGGGAGGAACCATGTTGGCTTTCTGGGCTGAAAAAATCTCTTGGGTCTTCCCTTACCAGCAAGCTAAAGATGGTTCCCCTGCTCCTAGTCATGAGGAAGGGCAGGTGTGTTCTGCCTTATCTGTGTACAGCCCACCTGGCCCAAGGTGCCCTCTGGAATTGGAGCTGTTCAACCTCTGTCTCCTGATACTCTGAAGTTCCCTCTGGCTTCTATGGGACTGTCCCCAAGCTGTCCTTGGGCTAGGAAAACCCCTGCTTCCTCAGACCACTTGTCGAGGTATAGCTTTGAGCTGAAGCCCTTCTAGGCCACATCCAGGCTGCTTTCCAGAGTTGCTTCCCCAGGGAGATGTCACTGGGAACTCCTTGGCAGGCAGAGATGTGCATACTGCTTGGTACATGGTCTCTTTTGCAAGCTCTTCCAAGTTATCCCAAGACACCAAGGAGGTTCTGACCTAGGGAGGGAGATGACTGCTGACAGTGGGCCCTGAGAAGCAGAGGGACCCAGGCTCAGTGGCAGAGAAGGGCAGAGTTGCCAAGCAGCTGGCTCTGAAACCACTCCATGCCTGAGAGCTTTGGACTCTAGGGTTGTGCCCTGAGTTGAGAGCAATAGAAGAACAGCATCTTGGGGTACAGAGCATCCTGCTCCCAGTGAGACACATTAGGGGACAGTCTGTGCTAAATAACTTCAAGGGACAATCACTCTCTGTTCACTTCTGGCACTGGGTCTGAGACCCTATAGGGCCAGCTTTCCACAGTAATGCCAGAGCCAAATCTCCAGTGACCTGAGGTCACAACCACCAATTCTAGCATCAGGTATCTCCTCCTCAGGGTCAACAGGCTGCTGCCCAGGGCTGGGCTGGATGGTGGAATCCCTCAGGTCTCCTACATGGATGATACTTCCTGGAGCCAGCACAAGGAGGGAAGGATAAGTTCTTCAAGGACCCAAAGTCACTGTCAATGCCTTTGTTAGGCCACTAGAGGACAATTCCTGGAGAGATGCCACCCACAACAGCCATGCGGCAGTGCTGTTGGGTGTTTATCCACCACAGGGGAAAGAGGAAGCAGAAGGAGGAGTCCCCATCCACAGGCTGCTGCAGGCAGGCAGTTGCATCAGGAGGAAATCCTAGGGTGTAACAGTCATTCTAGTTCCCACGTGGGAAAGCGTTGTGGGTGCCATCTGAAGGATCCTTCTGCCCATGTGTTGTGCATCTCAACCAAGGGTCCTGGCACCCACTGACCTGCTGGCCATCCTAGGGGTAATGACAATGTCCCCATCTTTGTCTGTCCTCTGAGCAATGACTTGCTTTAAGGACAGGGACCCAGCAGTTAAAACTGACCAGTTTAATTGGGTGGCATGTGGCAGCAGGAAGAGTGTGTTCTCTGCGGGGTCAGGGTCATCCTGCCAGGGTGTCCAGGGCCAGCTGCCATGGCTAGGTTGAGCACAAAGTGACTGGGGTCTGGGATTCCACTGAGGTCAGAGGTCACCGCTCTGAGGCTCCACATTGCGCATCTCCCTGGGGTGGCCTCGGGACAGCTTAGGGAATCGGGAAACTACTTTGGGCCTGTTGTTCTTGTTCAGTGGTTCTCCTGGTGGAGATACATCCCTGCAAGACAAGAGGAGACTCTGTTTAAGTAAGAGTTTAAATGCAAATGACACAGGCAGGGACAGGAGTCACACGTGAGACCAGCAGAGGTCACACAGAGAGGAGAGGAGAGTATCTGGCCAGCTCCAACTGGTCAATGTAACTTGAAGAAACAGATATTCATGTTGCTGTGTAAGTTTCCCACTTTTTAAATAGTCTGGGAAGGCCCACTAATGTGGGCTGTGTCTGAGCTAGATTTAGGGCACTTGGCAGGAATCTCTTTTGAGGCTGTAAGTCAGCTCATCAGCCAGGCACTCTGCCATGCTTCCCTTCATCTCCCAGTGAAGCCTCATCCTGAGCCAAAGAGAAAATGCTGCCAAAATCCCAGCACCCAGTGACGTAACAGATGTGCAGCCAGATGTTCAATGGGGACCTCTGCTGGTGTTCATCCAAGAGGAGAGTCAGGCTCACAACCCTGTGAGGAACACTGCTGGGTGGCAGGGATGGACCCAGAGCCCAGGCTGCAGGTGTGAGCATAGATGTGGCGCTCAATGGATGTTGAGCTCTTAGACACTCAGTCATAGCTCAGGATGCCCTGAATCCCCCTTAGAAAGAGGAGTGTATGTGGGATATGGTCTCAAAGCTTTTGCTTTTTTTTTTTTTCCTTCTTCTCTAGTCCAGTAGGGTCTCACTGACACTAGTCATCAAACACCTACTCACCAGGACAGCCCACAGTAACACAACTTGCATCGCCTACTTGAAGAAATGGTGGCTACCACTTAAAGCAGGTGGGAGAGGGGTGACCTAAGAAAAGCATGGGGAAGCCCCTCACAGACTCAACCCTGCTCTGAGTGGATCACGGGCTCTGTCCTTTGCAGCTACACCTCTGCAACCAGGAGCAGGAGTCTTTTTCCAACAAGTTCTGTAGATGACGAGGAGGCAGAGGGCACTGAGTGCGTGCACAAGGTGAGGACATGTTGAGGTGGGGGGCGGGTAGGTCAAAACAACAGTGGTGCACAAAGGAGAGTGGACAAACCCTGACCAATAGTGAGAAAGGGCTTTATGGGGACGGCAGCCAGGGTACCAAAATAGGTGTGAGAAGGGTGAGAATCTAATGCTGCTACAGGTGCAGTGGTGCCTGCCTGCCATCCTAGCACCCCTACAATGTAGGATATATCCATTTGGGAGTGGAAAACAGAAGATAATCAAGGCAGAGTTGATCTGGGAAACATGACTACTTGTTCTAATTCCAGCCTTAGATGGGTGACTTCCTCTAATAATAGTGCTGACGCTGAGCCCGGTCCCCCAGTTCAAAAATGTTACCTAACCTATAGTTCTGAAAGTCTAGGAGCAAATCCATTCCCTGAACATCACCCACACCAGTTCACTACAGCCCAGGCTCTGGGCACATTCTGTGAGCCCACCACTCCATATGGCAGGCCAGGGTCGCTTAAAACGCCACTTGACCTTGTGTATCCTGGGCACTCGCTCTCCACTGGCAGGCACTTCCCATAGTTCCTCAAGCAGTACCCCAAGGCTGACTTCTTAGGACAGTGCTGGCTGTGTCTGCAGCCTCAGTGTGAACAGCCTCTCATTCTCCTTCAACCACGTGGGGCACCAGGCCTGGAGGGTTTCCTTAGTGTGCTAGCATGCTGCAGATACAGTTTTACTGGGCATGACTGTCCTCAGTCACCTCTTAATGGTTGTATTCACATGGCATTGGCTGAGGTGAGCAGCTAAAACGCAGACTGAGCGATCTGCAGAGCAGCAACCACATCAGCCAAGCCCTGCCTCTGGCCTGCTCTCCAGTCTGCAGGGGCAGAGTCTGGCAGCAGATCTCCACCTACCAGCTGGAATAGGGGTATGAGAGGGAGACCCCAAAGTCCATATGCTGTTCTACTGCCATTGAGGGAAGATGGCCTTGCTCCAGGGGAGAGGCTCAGCCATTGCTTTAAGCCATCTCACTAAGCCCTGCGAGCAAGAGGACAACACTTACAAGACAACAGCCTGCATTGCACAGAAGGCAGCTGAGCGGATACATTTGGGGGTCTGACCCCAGCACCACCGTCTGTTCTGGGCTCACAAAAGCAGCCATTCTCAGCCCAGGTGTGCTGCAGAGTCACCAGACTCCAAACACAGTGTTCAAGCCAAGCTGCAAGGTTCATATAAAGCTTGCTGGGGAACCCAGGGCTGGGAACCAGAAGCAGAGGAACTACAGCCCCAGGGCTCTGGAAATACCAAAGCCAGCTGAAAACAACTGCACTTATCGCTGAGGTTAAGGTGGCTTTTTGGTAGACTGGCACACAGAACTATGAGAAGTGATTTGGGACTGTGTCTAGAAGAGGGACATGTACAGTCACACCAGGAGGGTACTAAATACTCTCCAGTACTCTCTCCTAGCAGCTGGGTGCCACTGACTCTCCATTCCAGCCTCAGCCTCATCCAAGGAACCAGGCTCACTGGGGCTGGAAGCCAAGTGCTCTGCAGCCTTCACCTGGAAGTCAGTACTCAGAGAAGCAAACTGTTGCAAAGCAAGGCCACTGCACACTCTGCCTGCACCACTCACACCAGAGTTAATTTCTACTTAAATGTAGCGAGGACATCTGAGCCTCCTTCCCAGGCTTCCTCCCAGAACACAGCTATTGGAGCAAGAATTTTCAGAAAGAGGTTAGCCCATAAAAGAGCTCTGCACCTTCCTTAGAAGGCAGAGGAAACATGGCCGAAGAGATCGGTGCCTCTGTCTTCGCTATCTCAGCTCTTCAGCCCCAAGGTACTTTTGAAATGTACTATTTTATTTCATTATTTCCTTGAATAGGTAACACAGAAAGTGAAGCAAATTTAAGCAAGAAAAGTACAGAGGTAATGGCATGTGTGTGTCTCCTGCTCTGGTCTCCAGGGAGCAGCCCTTTTTGTTCTGAGTGGCATCTCTCTTGAGCTACCTACTGCACAGAGGGAGAGAGAGAGAGAGAGAGAGAGAGAGAGAGAGAGAGAGAGAAATGCACCCTGCAGCCTCCTGCTTCTCATGCCAGTGGTAGGTATATTGTTGAGCTGCTTCATAGAGATCAGCCCTAACATTCTGAAACAAGGCCTGACAACAGTCAGACCCTTCATATCTGTGGCTCTGGGAGGGGGTGGTGCATGGGCTGCTGCATCCCTATTGGACAGATGCTGTGGATGGCCCATAGGGACTAGCCTGTGGCAGTTTCCTGGACACTTGCTTTACATTTTTCTTTTCCTTGTGGTTCTGGGGATGAACCCCCGGGCTTTGTGCACACTGAGTAAGTACCCTCCACTGAGCTGCACCACAGTCTTCTAATCTACACTTCTAGGTGTTAACCCCATTGTTTATCCACAGTGTAGGAAGGCCTGCTGTCCCAAACACAAGGATGTGAACTTTTCTCCTTAATAGGTACCTGACTACAAATGACAGTCACCTGCCTGTCACTGACATGAGGACCAGGCCCTGGATCTGCCATAAGCAACACTGTTCTCTCAGACATGCATGTGTGTTGGGGGACCGTGAAGGTGAGGAACACAGGCTTTAGGGCCTGGTTCTGGGTTCCCCCATCTCTAGCTAGTTACAAAGAACTAAATAGACTCAAGTACCAGGTGTCTCAAGGAGCCTGGCACACGCTGATCCCCAAAGCCAACATGAGTATGAGAAGGAAGTGCTATGAAGAATCCAGAGCTTCATGCAAGACTTTCTACCTGCTGCTCCTATGAAAACACCCCAGTCAACTTAAAGTCAATGCCCTGCTAACCACACCTGAAAGTGTGGCCGAATGGTCCACATTCCCGCCACAGCCTGACTCACTTCCCCTCGCTACTGTCACACATACCCATGCTTGTCCCTCCTCAGTGGCCTGGGCTGGATTCTTAGACAGCACAGTTAGATATTTTTGTGTGTATCCTTGATGGTTTCCTTGAGTGTGAAACCTTAGAAAGTGTCAGAGACACACCTACTGCCCAAATGAACACAGGTGGTTTCAGGATGGGCAACAGAAACTTGGTCTGGGTTCAGCTGCTCTCCTCTCCAGGCCCAGCTGAGGGTAAGGTTCATCATGGGTGTGCCTGAGAGCCAGGACGGTGTCCTCCCACCCTAGCAAGACCTCTGCTGTGTTCTGCATTATGACCTTAACCACAATAGGTTCCTTCTAAATTGGAACCAAATGTGGTCCCTAAATTGTTTCTTCCATGATGGGCCTCAGGCAGAGTGACTGTAAGCAGACTAAGGGGAAACTGTGTATGGGGAGATCCATCAAAAGTACCAGAGGTCCAGAAGAGAGACACCAACTACAACTGACTCTCTAGACACCAGTGTTGTCCCAGAGAGCATAGTCTTGGAAGGACTTCCCAGGAATCATGGAAGGGTGTCAAGCATGGAAGACTGTACTCAAGAGCAAGACTAACCAATGGGCACTGTGACACAGGCCACCATAAACTTTGAACAGGACCGTGTTCTTTCTTTGAGCAGGGGTCCCATCTTGAACAGGTGTCCCCAGACATCATTAGAACTGTGCAAGGTCATGAGGCCTACCTCCTTCTTGGGGACTGTGAGGGCAGACTGCTATGAGGAGTCCAAGATGACTCTGAAGCTATGCTTCTGTTCCAATACACTGACCCCTGCCCCTCATCTTGTGGAATCACTCTTACAAATGACAGGGTTTTTGAGACAAGGTCTCACTATGCAGCCCTGGCTATCCTGAGCTCACTATATAGACCATCAGGCTGGCTCCAAACTCACAGATCCACCTGCCTCTACTTTGTGAGTCCATGTGTCATCACATGTACCAACTGCTTTTTGAAGGCAGCTCTACCTTCATTCTGCTGTCTGTGCTAAGCAACAGGTGACACAGTCATCACTCAGCCAGTGTTTGCACACACCTAACCCATTCTACCGTGGTCTAGACAAAGGGCACAGAGATTAGAGTCACCTGTCTGCTTTTACAACCGATTTCAGACCTCCAAGAAGGTATCTCAAAGTCTTCAGCCACTTTCCTAAGCCCACAGCCACCTTGGCT